TGGGAGGGGGTGTGGGGGGAGGGGTGTGGGGGGGGAGTGTGGGGGGGGGATGTGGTGGGAGGGGGTGTGGGAGGGGGTGGGGGGGGAGGGGTGTGGGAGGGGGCTGTGGGAGCCCCGCTGGAGCTGCTCTGCCTGCTCTTCCTGGGTGCTGTGTGTCCTCAGCCTGATGACAAACATGGCTCTGCCACCCATTAGAACCCAACATGAACGTTAACCTGGCTGTGCCAGTCTCAACCAGTCAGGGAGACTCACATTAAAATTCAATTTAAATATAAAAGCGTATTCACACATTTATATTTTTGGTTCCTTACCTTGGTAAGTGAGTTTAAACCCTTGCCGGTTTTGTGAATGGTCACTATAAAAGCGGATGAGGGTCTCGTGAGTTGTGCTCAGCAAAGCCAAGGGCAGATCTGTGCCACTGAACTGCCCAATCATTGGGCTGGTGTGGTAAGGTCCATTTTGAATTTCCAGGTAGTCATGGTTAGCTTCAGTAGAGAAATTCAGAAATTGGATGTGTGCACCTATGTAAAAACAGGCAAATTATTGACAGTTTACAAACTCATAAAATTCATGCTTATCAACAGCGACTGTAATTGTGTTTTTCTATGACACAGTAACTCACTGGAGGGGAACATGCACTTGGTTCACCTCTGTGTGTGAACATGCACAGGTTCACACCTGTGGCTGTGTGATCTTTATCCTGGATCAATTAATGTCCATGGGTCAACGCCCTGTGGACTATGAATGTGGCCGGCATGCTGCACAGAGGCACACAGGTACAGTCCTGAGGACAGTGATTAGCACACATGCTCACGGCATGGTTTCTTCCAGTTGCTATCATAGTTATTACAGCCTTAAACTCCAGGTGGAATTATACATAAATTATACATAAAGCTCTGTCAAGGGAGAAGCCAACATCCTTTGAAAGAAATATGCAACAAACTTTAAAAGTTCCTTTTAAGCTAACTGATGATCACACCTTTGTACAAGAGATTTATTATCTCAACAGGTGGTCATTTTCAGTTGAATTATGTAAACAAAGCAGATTAGTAATATTTAAATATTTATAAGAAACCCAGTATGATGAACTCTACTGTAACTCAAAATTCAACAACATCCTGGCCTTGCCCAACATACACAAAGATTGTCCAGATAAGCAACATCTCTGGTATCATGTTGATCTGGGCATGAAATAAACTATGGCTAAAGTTTGGAAGAAAGTCGAAATCAAGAGAGAAACTTGCTATGGTGCTGAGACATTTGGAAACTTACTGCAGTGTCCAAAACATTTCAATTTGTTTAAAAAGTATATTAGCACTTCAAAGACAGTGGTCATTGCACACATCCATGTGATCCAGTGAAGAAGGTGGGCAGTAAAATCTCAGCTGAGGCCAGTACAGCTCACATGGGAAGGTTTACTGGGAATAGCTTCTCTCCTTTTTTCCCTAATGCCTTGCTGGGGATCAGGGACAGGGCCTCTCCTGTGCTGGGCAGCGCCTGCCCTGGGCTGAGCCCAGCCCCTCCTGCTTCCCATGGCTGAGAACTTCACTCCTGTTTTCCATCAAACCTATTGTGGTTCCTAGAATGGCCTGTCCTGCCCGAGTGCAGATGCGAAGGGGATCTCAGGGAACATGGCTTCCCTGTGTCCAAGGAACCAGGGTCACCACACCACCAATCGGTGGGGTTTAGAAGAGAAGGTCAAGGAAGAGTGCAGGGGAAGCCAGCAGCATGGAGTGAAACTGGGAGTCGCACAGGAGAAGACCCTCCTTCACGGGAAGGTGTTCTGAGGAGGAGAAAAGGACCAAAACGGCCCCTCTCAGACCCGAGACCCAGCTGGCCAGCTCCTCTCCCGGACCCCACAGGTGACCGTGGCTATTCCAGCACTCTTCCAGGGGGACGACGAGGGCTCAGGGGTTAGGATGGTCACTGTCACACGGGGAGACCAGAGTGAGGTCCAGGTGCTCCGGCCGACGACACCCTCACTTCTGTGGTCAGCATGAAACAGGCTGGACCAGAGCTCATGGTCTCGTGAAGTTAAAGCCACCCACTGCTCTGGAGAAAACTGGCCTGTATTCAGCTTAGCTAGAAGAGGAAGGACAGGAAGCAGAATAGGGACGACTTCAGGAAGAGGCTGGAGAGGTGACCGCAGAAGAGAAGGAGACCCTGCAGCTCTGTTTAGGAGGAACTACTGGATTCCTGCTCGGGGCCCTGGTCTGTACAGGTCGCACCTGAGGAGCCCGGCTGGGACAGCCCTCTGCAGTGGTCTTGGCCATCTGACATCCTCTGCTGTGCACAACCAAGACAAAGGAACCCTTTAATCTTAAAACGTTTCCGTAAATGTTTGTAAACGCCAAATCTTGCTCTTGGCTGAACTGCAGCTGCCAATAAACATTTCCCCCCTAAATTTTAGCAAATGCATTTGGTCAAAAGAAGTTGAGAGGCAGGCAAATACACAGAAGTCTGTGCTGTTCCCCACCCTGTGTGACAGCTCAGCCAGATGACCCCTCAGCAGGCCGCAGGCCAGCATCCGACTTGCCTCCTTAGGATTGCCCAGCTGAGCAGCTTCCTCTGGAGAAGTAGAAATGCACTTTGTTACTAATGAGTGAACCATGTGAAGAGCCCTGAGGAGAGAGAGAGGGTGTGTGTGTGTGTGTGTGTGCGTGGAGTGTGTGAGTGTGTGTGAGTGTGTGAGTGTGTGTGTATGTGTGTTAGTGTGTGTGAGTGTGTATGTGTGTTAGTGTGTGATTAGTGTGTGTGAATGTGAGTGTGTGAGTGTGTGTGAGCGAGTGTGTGTGGGTGTGTGTGAGAGTGTGTGTATGAGTGTGAGAGAGTGTGTGTTTATGTGTGAGTGTGTAAGAGTATGTGTGAGTGTGTATGTGAGTGTGAGTGTGTGTGAATGTGAGTGTGAGTGGGTGTGTGAGAGTGAGTGAGTGTGTGTGGGTGTGTGAGAGTGTGTGTATGTGTGTATGTGTGTGTGAGTGTGTGTGAGTGTGTATGTGTGAGTGTGTGTGTGTGAATGTCAGTGTGTGTGAGAGTGTGTGTGGTTGTGTGTGAGAGTGTGTGTGAGTATTTATGTGTGAGTGTGTATGTGTGTGTATGTAGTGTGAGTGTGTGTGAATGTGAGTGTGAGAGTGGGTGTGTGTGTGAGTGTGTGTGAGTGTGTGTGAGTGTGCTCTTCAGGATACTGACACAGCTGCAGCGATTCCTCAGTGGCCGTCACAGCTCTCACGGCAGGTGGAGTAGGGAGACAGAGAAGAGCAACCAGAAGCCACCCACGGAGCCCCCAGCCGTCCCGGGACGTCCAACAGGGGCCAGAGAAAGCGGGAAGCAAGGGCAAGAGTAGGCCATGAAGACCAGCCAACAAGGGGATGGCAAGAACGTGCTCCTCTGAGGGCGTGACGAGGGTGGCACCCCACCCAGAAACATTTTGAAACCTGTGGAATGACACAGTCAAGAAAGGAATGAAGGACGACATCCGAGCGAGGGTAGGAACACGGAAGTCGGCAGCATCTCCCGTGTAGGATACAGTGCAAGTGGCTTTTTACTCACTTGGAATTAAATATGAAATGGAAATGGAATTATGACGATTATAATATCGTGAACAAAATTACCATTTTAAGCAGGATAAAGTATCCAGCCACACATCAAACTACCTAATACCCATCAGGAACTAGAAGGCGGCCCAGCTCTAATCTGGTTTAAAGTAGAATCATTCCGCTATCTAAGTTTCAGCAAATTGCATCCAGTTTGACATCACAGAGCCTGATTGAAGGGATTAGAATGAGCCCGGCCTCGTTATCCTTCATTATCTCGCAGAGTGACTTAAAACTGTGTTATTACAACAAGGAAGCCAGTCCCAACGCCGGTCTGCAGTGAGACTTACACAACCCATTTTCATATGGTAGTTACATTTTGGAAATCGAGTGCCAACAGAGTCACCTGCTCAAAGGACTTTTGCCTCCCTTGAATAGTAATGTGACCACGACTTCAGAGTCAGACCTTCATTTTTAGTTGACAGAAGCTGTGGATATTAACTGCCCTGCCTGGTCCTCTGTGGGTTTGGCACACCTCCTCTAGACTCCCATCCTTCCCTGCGGTACCGGAGGGTCCTCAGGCCTGGGGTGGTGTTTTGTGCAACCTTAGTACAGTGATTTTGAAAAATGAAAGATCAAGATTAAAAAAAAAAAAGAAACTTGGTGACATTTCTGTCAACTGTGCCTCTAGACATTTTTAAGAAAATAAGAGCAGAAGTTCATAGTCGGTTCAACTTCACCAACGCAACACACAACTGCAGCCTACGTTTGTAAAAAGAAAAGAAAAGTCGCACAAGACAGCGGAATTTGGCTCTGCTACCACAGACCTTAACAGGTCAATGAGGTGGCTCGAGGTCAGGCCGTAGCCACTTCAAAACACCCAGAGGAGGGCGCTATATTCTGCCCTTTTTAATGAAAACCGGGTGCAGGAACATTTTTGCAACCTGTGAAAGTTTATGCCACTGGTAATTGACAAAGCGAAGATTTCCACTCTCTAAACCCCCAAATCAAATCAGGAGCAACCTGCACATGAGCTGCCCGTCTATCAGGTCCCTGGATGGATTGGAGAGCCTTCCTGTCACCTTGAGGCAGCACGGAAGGGGCTGTCACCAGAATGAGAGTAGAGAAGCGGGTGGAGAGCTTCTCACCATGCCACCACCACCCGTCACTCTCACCCACCATGCCACCACCACCTGTCACTCTCACCCGTTCCATCAGTGTTGACTGGTGCTGGCCCAGGGCTGGCTGGGGTGGGCTTGAGGCTGACAGTCACTCCACCCCCACACCCATGAGGTCCCCACTCGGGAGAGCAGTTGGTGCGTTGTCCCTGGAGTCACTCATGAGGACCAGGAGAGCAGTCACACCTGAAGCCTGACTCACCCCAGCCAGATGCAGGAACACGGCCCACTGCAGAGGCCAAGGAACAGAGACTACACCTAGGAACAATCCAGAGGACAGAGATGTCCTGCATGAGTCACCTTGAAGTCATGTGATACCCCACCCTGAATTCCAATCTGCCAAAGTCCAAAGGCCAGTGATCACAATGTCCTCACCAAGCCAATTTATACTAAATAAGCAAAACTGGAAAGACTCTTATGAACATCCTGGGGCATTTCTCATCTTATTTAGAGGACAAGTGCTCTTTCAATGTATGTTGGAGAAACGCTTCCTGCCGTAGGTGCTTTGTGGAAGCCTGGCAGTCTCCGCTTCCCTGGGGCTGAGTGGCATTGCCTGTCACCTGCACGCGTCTCCTGGTATGGGGGGAGCAGTCTTTCCACTCCTATTTTCCAACTTGATGACCCTGATACCCTAGCAGCAGAGTTTCCACCTGGATTTTTAATGTGACAACAGTAGAAATACCCACTCAGCTTCCCATTCTCCCTGCTGGTCCCATTGGGAGATCTGGGCCCTTTCTCAAGTTTTAAATACAGGGAATGTTCCAGAACCCTCCTGCAGTGTGGATGCCAATAGGAAACCATGTAGGAGGTCCAAGAGGGAGAACGTGTGGTTAAAGGCATCTTGGCCGCGAGATGCGTTCCCAGTCTTCTCACAGGAAACTTTTGGAGAGTTTGATCATAGGCTTTGACCCCAAATTTATGGTTCGAAATTCCCAGGGGAGATCTGATATTTGCTCATGGTTTGGGGGATTCTGGGAAGAACCTACTGCCAAAAATAGGGTGAGTCAGAAAGAAAGAACAGGTGTGCTGGCAGGGCTGGGAATCAGCTGGGTCCAGGAGGGGACCTACACCTGCTCTGAGATGCCCTCGGGCGACCCAGACGGGAGTCCCATGCAGCTGAGACCCAGTCATGCGCTGCAGCAAGCCTCGTGATCCCGTTTAAAGACTCGTGTGGAAGAGAGAGAGGGAGCAGGGACGGCAGGTGTTCCAGGGGAGAAGTCGACCTCTAACACATGTAGGAACGTGTGGAACTCAGAGCGCAAGAGTTTCCGGTCATAAAGCTCAGGCACAATGGAAAGAAAGGGAGTAACATTTCTCACAGTCTGTAAAACACTGGAAAAATCACTCGGGCCCCAGGGAGAACTCAAAGCAAAGGCAAAGTCACTACAAACACTTGCCATAGCCAGGGTCTCTGCCCTGGGGAGGGCTTGGTCCTCGTGTTCCTCTACCACAGTGGCCTCCTGAGGAAGCCCTTGGTCATGAAGCAGCTGCCGAACCCGCGGGGCTACTCAGCAGCCCTCTTCCACGTCCAACAGCCCACGTTGGCCCACAGCACTTCCCCTCAGTGCGCCTGAGCCACCCGGCCACGTCCTCCGGCCACGACACCCACTCCAGGGCTCTCTGCTGAGCAAGTGACCCCCACCTGGCCTTTCCACACTCCTGTACACATTCTCCAGGGAAAAGCTTAGCCAAAAGAAGACAGGAAGTAACTAAAATGAGAGCTGAAATCAATGTGATTGAAACAAACAAAAACCATTAAAAAATACACAAAATAAAAAGTTTGTTCTTTCAAAAAATAAACCCTTAGCCAACATAACTGGGAAAAAAGGGGGAAAAACTCAAATTAATAAAATTTGTGATGAAAAAGGAAATATCACCACAGACTATTGAAATACAAACAATAACCGGAAACTATTTTGAAAATGTCTACTCCAAAAAAATAGAAAATCTTGAAGACGTCGACACATTTTTAGAGACACATGACCTACCCAGATCAAATCAGGAGGACATAGAAAATTTAAACAGATTGATCTCAAACAATGAAATTGCACACACCATCAAAAGCCTACCAACAAAGAAAGCCCAGGACCAGATGGACTCGCAGTAGAGTTCTTCCAGACCTTCAGAGAACTCACACTAATCCTCCTCAAAGTATTCCATGAAATAGAAAAGGTGGCAGCCCTTCCAAACTCATTCTATGGAGCTAGTATCACTCTGATACTAAAACCACACAGAGACACATCAAGGAAAGAAAACTTCAGACCAATATCCCTGATGAACATAGATGCAAAAATCTCTATAAAATACTGGCAAAGTGCATAAGAAAACATATTAAAATGATAGTTCGCCATGATGAAGTGGGGTTCATCCCTGGGATGTAAGGTTGATTCAACATATGGAAATCAATAAATCAATAAACGTAATTCATCACATCAAGAGACTTAAAGACAGGAATCATATGATCATCTCAACAGATGCAGAAAAAGATTTGACAAAATACAGCACCCCTTTATGTTCAAAACACTAGGAAAACTAGGGAAAGTAGGAACATACCTCAACATCGTAAAAGCTGTAAACATTAAACTCAAGGCCAGCATTATTCTAAATGGAGGAAAATTGAAAGCAATTCCTCTGAAAACTGGAACAAGACATATAAAAACATGCCCTCTATGGCCACTCCTATTCAACATGGTCATTGAAACCCTAGTCAAAGCAATTATGCAGGAGAAATAAATTAAAGACATATAAGTAGGAAAAGAAGAGCTCAAATATCCCTATTTGCTGATGACATAATTCTATAGTTAGAAGACCCCAAAACCTCCACCAGAAAGCTTCTAGAACTCATAAGTGAATTGATTAAAGTAGCAGGATATAAAATTAATTCCCATAAATCAGTGGTGTTCCTATACATCAATGGTAAATCAACTGAATGGGATTTAGGAAAACTACCCAATTCACAATAGACTCAAAAATATATACATATTTGGGAATCAATCTAATAAAAGAGGTGAAAGACCTCTATAATGAAAACTACAGAACACTAAAGAAAGAAATGAAAAAGACCTTAGAAGATGGATAGGTCTCCCATGCTCTTGGATAGGCAGAGTTAACGTTGTCACAATGGCCATACTACCAGAAGTGTTATATACATTTAATGCAATTCCTATTGAAATCCCTATGACATTCTTCATAGAACTAGAAAGAGCAATCATGAAATTCATTTGGAAAAATAACAGGCCCGGAATAGACAAAATCCTCATTAAGAAAAGTGAAGCAGGAGACATAATAATACCAGAGTGATCATTATACTACAGAGCCATATAACAAAAACAGCATGGTATTGGCACCCAAACAGACATGTAGACCAGTGGTGCAGAATAGAGGACACAGAGACCAACCCACATAAACGCAGTTATCTCATACTAGACAAAGGTGCCATAAACATACCTTGGAGAAAAGATAGCCTCTCAACAAATGGTGCTGGGAAAACTGGAAATCCACATGCAGAAAAATGAAACTAAACCCCTGACTCTCACCCTGCACAAAACTTAACTCACAGTGGATCAAGGACCTAGGAATTAGCCCAGAGACCCTGCACCTTCATCATGTAGGCTTAGGATCTGAATTCCTCAATAAAACTCCTAAAGCACAAGAAATAAAATCAAGAATCAATAAATGGGATAGAATCACTAAAAAGCCTCTTCACAGCAAAGGAAACAATCAAGAATGTGGAAAGAGAGCCTCCAGAATGGGAGAAAGTCTTTCCCCCTGCACCCCAGATAGAGCACTAACCTCCAGGACACACAAAGAACTCAGAAAACTTAACGCCAAAAAACAAATAAATGGGCTAAGGAACTGAACAGACACTTCACAGAAGAAGAAATACAGATGGTCAACAAACATATGAAAAAGTGTTCAACTTCTCTAGCAATTAGAAAAATGAAAACTAAAAATACACTGAGATTTCAGCTCACTCCAGTCAGAATGACAGTTATCAAGAATACAAGTATGAAGTGTGGGCAAGAATGTGGGGGAAAAGGTACCTCAGACACTGCTGATGGGACTGCAAAGTGGTGCCAACACTCTGGAAAGCAGCATGGAGATTCCTCAGAAAACTAGGAATGGAACCACCCTCTGACCCAGCTATCCCACTCCTCGGTGTATACCCAGAGGACTTAAGACCAGCATACTACAGTGACACAGCCACATCAATGTTTATAGTACTCAATTCACAATAGCTAAGCTATGGAACCAACCTAGCTACCCTTCAACAGCTGAATGGATAAAGAGAATGTGGCATTTATACAAAATGGAATATTAGTCAGTCATAAAAAAATGAATTTATGACTTTTGCTGGTAAATGGATGGAACTGGAGACTATTGTGGTAAGTGAAATAAGCTAATCCCTAAGAACCAAGGGCTGAATGTTCTCTCTGATATGCAGATACTAACACACAATAAGGGTGGGGAGAATAGAAGTTCACTGGATTAGACAAAGGGGAATCAAGGGAAGGGAGGGGGCAGGAAAAGGAAAGACAGTGGAATTAATCAGACATAACTTTCCTATGTTCCTATATGAACACACGACCAGTGAAACTTCACATCGTGGACAACTGTAAGGTGGGAAGTTATTTTCCATGTAGATATGATATGTCAAAATACACTCTCCTGACATGTGTATCTAGAAAAAACAAATTAAAATGTTTCACAAACTTAATAAAAACCACAACCTCCTTTTGGAGCAATGATTTCCATTGATGTGTCTATTCATTTCTCAATCAACTAATAGTACCCAAGTCCCCATGTCCCAGGACATGCCCTGAGGACCCACCTCGTGCCCTGCGGCATGCTCTAAGGAGGACCAAGGGTGGACTAAAGAGGGGAGGGAGCCAGGGAGCGACGGAGACAGGCTGGTCAGAAGGCCCAGGTCTCACCGAGGCCAAGTGTGCCCAGGACAGGCCAGAGTAAGTGTCAGTGTTCACAACCATCAGAATTATGAATTACTTAAAAGTAAAAACCTGAGAGTTAATAGCTGAATGTTAAAAGATTTTAATAAATGTATAATCAATATAATATATAATAAGAAACTAATAATGCAATACTATCTTTTCAAGTTTAACGTTTATATATTCTTTTTCTTTTTTTTTTTTTTTTGGTATCAGAGCTTGATCTCTGGGGCACTTAACTACGGGCCACGACTCCAGTCCTTTTCTGTACTATATATAGAGACAAGGTCTCACTGAGCTGCTTAGTGCCTCACCAACTTGATGAGGCTGGCTTTGAACTCATGATCCTCCTGCCTCAACCTCCTGAGTTGCTGGGATTATAGATGTGCAGCACTGTTCCCGCCTAAATTTTATATATTCTGTTTAAACTGTGCCACAACCTGAAGAACGTCTTCGAAATTGTTCAAAAGAAACTGACCATGACTGAACCACAGAGACAGATTGGAGTAGGTAGAGAGGTGGCCACCTCATGAGGGTGCACGCGGCCCCGTGCCTACCTTGTCATCACCCGGCTGATCTAATTCTCATCAAGAGTCCTCTGGCGATTTTTCAAACAACTTCCTGTTCTCAAGTTCTCCTGCCAAAGTTCTGCTGAGCCCTGACCCACTTTCAGTTTATGATGTCATGTGACGGGACAGGGCACATTTGTGTCAGCCTGCTTCTGCAGATGAGGAGTAGGTCGTGGGTCACTCACCGTAGCCGATGGGCAGGGAGATCTTCCAGGTGCAGTCCAGGTTGTTGGGGTAGGAGCCGGGGAAGCCGGGGCTCAGGATCACTCCGCCCAGACTGGTCAGCGTGCCTCCACAGGTGGCTGTAAAGGGGACAACAGCTGTGAGTCTCAGGGGAGCCACTCCCTCCGAGTGTCACATGCCACAGCTCTGTTTGACCTGCCAGGAAGAGTGGCCTGCGGAGCCGAAGCAGCCGGGTTCTGCTGGGAAGGCAGCGCAGGCCTCACCTTGGAGGACCAGGACTGTCTTCCAGGATGCGCCTCCTGGCCTCTGAGGACCTCATGAAGGTCTTACCCTCAGTGGGGTGCGTGTCAGCAGGCCTGGAGGTGGCTGTGGCTCCTCAGCTACGACTCGGGGGTGGCCTCAGTCACGGTGTATCACTGGCTGCATGGGGCCTGCTCTGCTGGGACAAAGGAGCCCCACCCTGTCACAGCCACCATCACAACCCTCAGCACAGCCCTGAAGCCTGCAGCGAAGATTTCCCCATGTGACAGACCATGAAGCCAAGCCTTGAGAGAGTCGGGCCAGGCCTCAAGTTCTAGCAGCCCAGCCACAGGGTTCCAGCCCTGTTCGCTCCCAGGACCCTCCAGGGCACCAGCCCCCCTGGCCCTCAGACTTCTTCCCAGTTGGGGACACAGCTTGCAGCCACCACTCTCCCCAGGAAATCGGGTGTCTGTGATGGGTGTGACAGGTGTGTGCACTTGGCCTGCCCTGCTGGCTCGCGGGCTCGACTACATGTGTGCGATTTGCCTGTAAAGAACACGCTGACTTCACAACACACAGGCCAGGAAGGTTGGAGCCCTGGAATCTGGCCCTTGGCCACCTGTGACCTGCAAACACCAGCACTGTTCTCTGGATGCCTCGCCTAGCCCCCAGGGCCTGCAGGGGCCTTGGGTTTGATCATCCAGGTGAGCAGAACCCCCAAGACGACAGATTGCACGTGAGAAGCAGGTGGAAGTCAGGCCTCCTGCGTCTGGAACTGCTCGAGGCAGGCTCCTGTCCTGGATTTCAAACACGTTAAGAAACGTAAAGGTCTCTTTTTGTGGTCTGAGTCCTGACTCCAGAGAAGGCCTCGGCAACGTCCACCCACCGCGGTTCAGAGCACAGGCTCTCCACAGCCTCTCCACAGCCTCTCAAGGCCACTGTCCGGGGCCAGCGTCTGGGGCGTGAGTCTGTGGGCTCTGCTGAGGGTGCTCCAGGGGAGCAGCATCCCTCCCCCGGGCCACTCCAGTTCCAGGAGAGGACTCATGTCCAGCGACAGGGAGGACATACATGAAAAGTGACAGACTGATGACAGAAACAGGAAGGCAAGTGCTCATCAGTGACATGTCTTGAAGACCCACTTGATTCCAAGCATAATGAAAGTGAAGTCCTGGTGATGGTAGAAGACAATGACCTCTGAGCTGGGGAGGGACAGGGCCACGCGGGAGCATCTGGCTCACAGCCTGGGTGTCACTCTCAGCACCTAGGACGGGGTGGAACACAGGCCAGGTGCTAGTGTGGGGGTCACTGTGGGGCCCAGAGGCTGGGGCCGTCTCCTGTTGAGCGGGAAATCGCCAGCTGCGTGGGAACTCGGTTGCAAAAGCTGTGATGCTCTTACTCTTGCTGCCCATTGGAAACTAGAAGCCAACGAGGAGCGTGAAACAGAGTTCCAGGGCCTGGCCAGTCCCTGCTTCCTGCCATCTGAGAGCTCCACCGTGGACTGGGCTGTCTCCTACGGGCTCAGAGGCATTGTCCAGCTGCAGTCCGCTTCTTGGCTCCCCTGCCACCTTTGGTGACCCACCTCCTGCCTGCTCTCAGCAGCCCCCCCATGTCTGACCCTTGCTGTGGGTAAACAGCACACTTAGAATCATTACTAAACACAGTGTTCCTAAAGGACAAGGCGTTTATTTTAAAAAACTAGAGCAGGATCTCTGTGTCTCATTTGTGCAGGTTCCTGGTGTTTTGGTACTAAAGGCACTGGCCATGCCCTGAAGACCCCCAGTGTGAGAAGCCTCCCGCCACCTATCCTGGTGCAAACACCCAGCTCGGCTGCAGAGCCCTGGAGGACTGCTTGACCTGCCCCGGGCTTGTCATGACATTCACGATGGTCAGTGTCGGTTAAGCTCTGAGAACAGCGCTGAGGAGGCCAAACCTCCGAGAACGTCTGTCCGCAGAATCTTAACTAGCATCCTGATGACAAAGAGCTAGTAGGACGGTTCCCAGGAGCTAGGAAACAAACACCACCTCTCACAGACTTTGACTCTGATGTTCTGGAGCGTGAACAGACCTTAAATTAATGTCTGCAAACCCCTGGGATCGCTCATGTCTATCTTTGAGGCTCATCATGGGTCATGTTGACTTTTTAATGAAAACCCATTCTCCGTACCTTGTAAAAAAGCGGCTCGGTTCAGAACAGCTACACTCCTCATCCCCATAAACTGATATGAATTCAATTTGACAGATGCCTTGAGCTGGGAACCCAGCATCCCGTCCCTGTAGCCTGACCCAAAGGTGAGCTGCTGTGCTGCTGGGGTGTCCTGCTAGGCCCCCACTGCATTATGTCATTATCACCATGTGACAAATGCTTTGGAGAGGTGAGGAAGTGCCCCTCATGAGCCCCCAAGGGGAGGGGGCAGCCGTGTGCCGCTCCACGCTCCGGGGCCAGGGTTTCAAAGGGTCACCTACCTATGCACAGCGGGGACGGGTAGTTCCACCTACGAACAGTTCCTGGCATGCAGGAAATGTGGGAGCGGCCCTGTGGAAGGAAAGAAATGACTCTCAGGGAGGGATACCAGAGCATGGAAGGATGGAAGGTCTCTAGGGCAGCTAGACTCTCTTTGTCCCTTTTGTTTTAATTACACAGGGAAAAAACCCCACAAATCACAAAGTCTGTAGATATTGGTTGATTAGTAATGAATCGAACATCTTGAATCAACGCGGAAGTCCATGGTCACTGCCCTCCTTTTCACCAAAAGCAACACCTTGACACGTCCTTTAAAGGGTGATCTTTCCTTTCAGCCCTTTTCAGGATGTGTAAAAGATTACCTGAAGTGGGCAAATCATGTCTTTATTTTTTTCATCTTGATCATTTCTTGCTTATGCTCTGAGAGGCTGGAAGCAGGTGGGCAATCCTAGGAGTGACCAGGAAGGTGAAGAGTGGGCAATGCCCGGGCTGCACATGTGCAGGTGACCTCCAGCCACCTCAGGACTTCCATTGGCCACCTGTGAGTGTGGTGGAGGTGACTGCAAAACCAGCCTTTAATTCGCATCGAGTACTCCCAGCCACACTAGGGGCACAAGGAGCAGGGGTCATTGCGCAGTTCCCAACCGCGAGCCCACTGCCGGGCCAGAAACCCTTCGTCCTCAATTCAGGTCGGAAACTTATTTCCTCCTATTTCCTGGTGTTAAAAGAAGTCGTTCCAGTAACGGAACATAATGTTTGTTTTCAAAGAAGGTATTCTGGAAAATATTTTTGTTGTTGATGTTTGTGTTCTGTTTATTTATTTTGTGATCCATTAAATTATTTTAAATAAGTCACATCCTAAAATATGGATAAATATAAAGGGCTACAGCCTTTAAAGGAATTTATTGAAGAACAGCAATGAAATAGTCATGGATTCCCAGTCTAGGTCTTAGTCTGCTATTGATTTTAGTATAAACATTTCAAATGAGAAGTCCTTACTGAAATTTTTATAGTAGATCAAAAATAAGACCATTTCCATGTATCAATTCACTAGATTTTATCCAAATTGTTTAGAAGACCACTAAAGTAAGACTAGAGGGGACAGAGATCCTAAGTCATTCAGAGATCCAGGATTTACTCTCTGTGGGTGAGGTCATGCTTTATCTCACTGGGTCCACAAATTAGAGACAGCTTGTGAGAACCACACAAGGAACAGTGCTTTTCATAAATAGTGAGCAATTTGTACATGATGTTGCTCCAAATATATAAGTGTGATAGTAAAATGATGTTGCAATTTAAAAAGTAAAAATCTAGAATCCTCTGTTTCCACGGAAGCATGTGAAAGACAATAGCGTGCAGACAGTCATGCTCCATGCTGTTTCTATGAAGAGGAAAACAACTTAGTTTGCATTTGAAAAGCAGAGCTAACAAGCAGTGCATCCACAGGCCTGTGTGTCCAGCAGCATATTAATCAACACATCCTGAGAAAGCCCTGTAATAAAGAGGTCTTATTCTCCAGGGCCATAAAACATGGCTGGAGAAATAATGCTAATCAACCAGAGAGGCCCATCCTCAACAAGCCAAAGGAGGTCGACTCCAGCAGGCTCTCAGGGTGGGTTTTCAGGGAGACGAGGGAGCAGTGATATTCAGATCGTATCAGTCGAATATAACGCAGGCCAAAAGAAGGCACAAAATGGCCTGTGGTGTAGACAAGCGTGCCTCTCTAATAAGACCAATTCTACACATTGTCACATGCGTGCTGGAAGCTTGTCTCCAGGAGCCAGCCGGCACAGCCCTGCGGTGCATGGTGAAGGGCATGCGGGAGCTGATCTCCAGGGGCTGTACTCAGCGTCCCTTGCAGACACTGGACTGCTGCTGCTGCCACTCTGTTGGCAGAGTCCGAGCAGTAAGTACCGCCCCCCAGGCCTGCACAGGAGAGCTGTGGCTTGCTTTTACGAAGGTAGTGCTGCATGTGGATAGGTGCTCCCAATGGCAGAAGTTTCCTTTTACTGAATGAAGCTTGTGCATGTTCATGTGAATGTCCTCCAGCTCCACCTGCACCCGGTGTGGCCACAGGGAGGCTGACGGGTCCTAACCTGAGGTCTTGGTTGAAACCACTCTCAGTGACACATACAGTGGGCACTAGAGCTTGCTCCCTGCTGCCACCTGATGCAGTGCACAAGACGATAACCCAACATACGTGCAGAAACTGAATTCTCCAAACAGTAGCATCACATCACTGCATGTTGTCCCCAACCCTTTCTGATGCTTATTCAGGCTGCTTTGTTCAATGAGGAACGAAACATGGCTAAAAGAAATGTCCTTGAAAAACTAGCAGCTTCACTATTATAAACACACAGCAAAACGTACTCTATGATCTGAATTAAAGGGAGGAGAGTAGAAAGATCAGTAGGCTTAGCCGTGTCTCCTAGACTTTGGACCACACATGTCAATAATCAATGGTTATTGCCAGCAGGGAGAATCATGTAGAGCTATGCAAAGTAACAGACACTATTTTGGGAGTAAGTTTCCCAATGATTAAATCAGAAAACGGGTAATAGAAAACCGACTATTCTCTCTATAAATTTATAAAATGTTTATAAGGAACTTTTTACAAATTTTTTTACATAAAATCTATAAAAAGTTCATAGCAAAACTTTTACTTGTTTCCCCTTTCTCAAACATTATTTAACTTTACTGAGGGTCTCAATCACCTGGCAGTAAGCTGGTATCTAATGGTGACTTAGGGAGCTGAGCCATGGCAACATGGTACCAAAGGGAACCAGTACAGGGCTGCACACCCACCCAGCAACTGGAGCCAAGATGGGATTTTAAGCACATAGTGATGCTACTTTGCTCCACAGAATTTTCTCTGCATAGTTTCTAGAACATGCATTTTGAAATTTAAAAAAAATGTGAAAAATAAATAGTGCTCTGTGATACAGAAACTATTTCCAACGATACCATGGATTACCAACATCCAGGGCTTAATGCTTGGTTTAATTAGCTCAATTCACAAACCGAGAAAAGAAAACTAAATTAGCTCTCTGGGCTTCAGTTTCAACTGAACGGTCCGAGGGTTTCCATATTGACGCTCCGTGTCACAAAGACTCAGAGAACGCTACCTGCAGGGTGTACCCGGGCTCACACTGGAAGGAGAGCACGTCGTTCACCAGGTACCGGTCTCCAATCCTGATGCCGTTGCTGGGGAGCGCTGGCTCTTGGCACGCAGCGAGACCCACAGCTGCAGAAACACAGGGACAGGAAGCAAGCAACTTAAGAACTTTCCTACTATCTGAAAAAGAAGGGCTGTTCTTCTATTGCTCTCCTCCTGTGAGAGCAATAGAAGCTTTAAAGCTTTTCCTGGTTGTTTGACCAAAAGGACTTCAAGTAACTGAGTCGAACTGCAAGCTAACTCTTAAACATCACTTTACTTCATTTCCACCCTGCAGCAAATCAAGGTCTTTCTTTAATAAAACGAGCACAAAACACCCCACTTCTAACATACACATAATTTAAAATATTGTGTCCTTAGGAAATGACACCCCTGTGACATGCCAACCAGTGGCCTTGCTCTCTTGTCTTTTGTGTCTCACACATGCTTCAGGGTCCTTATGAAAACACTGAGGTGTGAATCTGGGAGCTCTCTCCTCCAGGAAAAGAGAAGCTGAAAACAAAGCCTTATGTTCATCTCCACCTAGGACTTTCTCTTTCTCACTCTTGTCTTCGACCTACAACAACAAGAATCTCCTGGAGGGTCTGCTTTCAGGTACTCAGGACCTGTATTTATATCCCTCAGGTGTGATCTGACCCTAACCATAGACAAAAATTTCCTTCACTTAAGAACTCACAGCTTCAGAAACAAGTGCCCCCTATAACATAGGAATTGAGCCTATAATATCAGATAAATTAACTCTAAGCATTATTTAGCACTGATGGCCTCTCCCATTCAAAATATCATCATGAGAATAAAGAATACATTTCTATGAATATCACAGAATAAAAGTGCAGTTTTTTGGTGAAGGGGTTAAAATTTTCATGTATAAGAACAAGTTTTGAGGATCTAAGTGTGCAGCTCAGATGATGACGGAGGTGTTACTGGCTGGTTGCAAATAACGTCTTCCATTCTTCAGTGTGTCTTGGAGAAGTGGGAGAAAGGTCTTTGCAGAGGAGACCAGCTCGCTGTGCTTTCCACACCCTTGGGTTCCTGCGTGGGTCTGGTTCTTATCAGGAACATGCACAGATTTGTCAGCTGGCTGATCCGCTAGGCTCTGTGGCAGGCAGCTGGGGTGGGGCGGGTGGTGAGGACTGCAGCCAATTCAGGGGCAAATGCCAGTAGGAAATGGGGGAAGGGGTGCAGCTGAGGCAGCTGCTCCCTGTGCTACCCTCCCAGGCCACTGCCCCCGCCTGCAGGGCTGTCCATACGGCGCAGGATGCGCTGCTCTCTATTCAGAGCTCAGGTAAAATCCACACAAGTTCAAAGATAAAATGATGATGAACTTCAAGGGGAGCAGCAGCAAGCGTGGGCCCTGGTGTCCCTCCCACGGGGCTCACTCATGGAGGGCCAGGTCTGTCTGCAGAGGCTAGGCACAGCACAGGACAGAGGAGGGGCTGCGTTGCCTCCGTCAGCAGCCAGGGCAGTGGCGGTGCTCTGATCCTCAAGGGGACCTCACAGCCAGCACCCTGCATCCCACACCACGCCAAAGCAGAGGCTGGGGTGGCCGCATGCAGGCGGATTGACCCGGCTCCTCGACATGCTCTTATCCCTGACCAGAGCTGCACGCCCAGGGGTTCCACCCTCACAGACCAGGGTCACTTTCCCATCCCCAGAGGAACAGGAGTGGGAAGTGTCCTCGCCTCCCCCTGGGCTGGCCACCTGAGACACCTGCTGTTGAGCCTGGCCATCTGTGGCCTAGATAAACAATCTAAGCCCTGGAACCTGGTGATTCCTCGTGGGAGAGGGGCAGGAGGTGCTGAGATGCTTTCCTAAGGGAAACTGACGAATCCAGAAAGGGCTGTCCTTTTAAAAGCACTCAACACACACCATGTGCTTCACACAGCACCGAGTTTCTGATTAGAATTCAGAACACTAAAAATATAACACTAAATATATAACATCACATGTGCATCATTTGGGACACTTCAAGTATACCCTAGACAGGACAGAGGGCAAAGAATATCAAGAATATAAAAATGTTCAAATTGAAGGGAGGAATATTTTGAAATTTAAAAAAAAATGACAATTCAATATTAAATTCCAGTTACTAAATTCCATCCCTTTTACATGTATGACATAATTTGTTTTTACATACTTAGTACATTTGCTTATGTATGAAAAATTCATGCATATTGATGTATACATAATCATTGTATGTTAATTTATTTTCATTTTCTCCTTCCTTAAATTTTATATCTAAGTCTAATTCATCTTCTGAAAAAAAAAACAGTTTGTCTATTTCTATCCCCATAGGAATCATACTAAATTTTTAAAATAAAATAATAACAAAAAATCATTTAGTTAGAGTATACTGTGGAGTGACTCAGGAAAGATGTGGGGACCATGTTCTTTGAGATCTGGAAGAAATGATCATTCTTTGCTACCTTTTCCAGACTCACCACATGCCCCTTAGATGTTAGAACTCAGAATACTAAGAGCTAGTATTTGTAGGAAAATTGTTTAGTAATGTCATTTAACCTGTTATTACTTCACTCAGAAATTGAGTGAAAAATGGGTAAGGATGTGACAGAGCCCACAGGTCCCTTCATCTCTTGTTAAAAGCAGTAATCTGCTGTGGCCCTGGGTGCAGCTCCAGTCTCCTCAGGCCGTCCTGCTTGGGTGGCCAACACAGGTACAGGTGGCAGAGTGAAGTCACAGCAAACTGGGGCACAGAACCAGCCCATGCTTCACAGCAAGGTGTAAACACGCCGCAGAGAGAGGGCAGCCATGCACCCACCAACCCAGGCAGAAATCAGGACGGAGGGAGGTCATGCAACTGCCAGCAACATGGGAGATGGCACTGAGGGACAGGAGGCCTGGGCTGAGGACAGCTGGCAGAGAGACGGGCCAGGCAGGCTGTGCTCCATCACCTGCCACTCAAAATGTGCAAGGAGGAGAGCGTGGAAGGCAGGCGTGACTGTGAATGTGCACTGGAGGCAGGCTAGTGTGAGTCCTGCTTGCACGTGTTACCCTCTGAAAGCCTGAAGGGAGAGTGTTCTTTAACAATCTCGCTTTGACGCCACTTTCTGGAAGAGTGACATTGCAGTGGTGTCTCATGCTGGACTGTGCATGGCGGAGCTGCGTAGTGACAGGAGAACCCTGCACCGTCATCTAAAGGCATTTATGTAGTCACCAGCACAAACACAGAGACACAAACTCCAAGCCCTCCCTGGAAGACCATGGGAAAGCCAAGACAGTCCTGCACCAAGGTCTCAGGAGCAGACTGCCAGGAAGGGCCAGCTGTCACGTTACCAGCAAACGTGCCAATAGAAATGACACAATGTGTAGTTCTGTGAAGTCACAGGCACCTGGGCCTTACGTCAGACATGAGAGAGAGTGTGCAGAACACAGTGTTCCTTTAGAAGGTGGGTCACCGCTGCCTGATGCTGCATCTCCGAGTGCCCAGACTGCACAGGGAAGCAGAGTAGAGCGGACTCTCACGGAATCTGAGGTCTGCAGCCTCCGCTGGGAGAGCAGCAGGATCCAGTGGGCAGGGGCCCTGTGTGCCACTGTGTTCTACAAATCCTTGTTCATAGAAGTATTTTCTACTCATGTCTGATGTTAAAACTTGGGCATTTTAAATATGCTGATACATAAACTTGCAATTAAATTTAGAATGCGGCAAAAGAAGTCTTTAAACCCCATGAATCCAGCCTGTGAAAGCAAAGAATACAAAACAAAGCCATTAAAAAGATGAGTGTCCTAATTTGACCAAAAATATAGTTTAATGGCTTGACCTACCACTGATCATAAATGTGAAAGTTGTGACTCAGAATATAACAATAAGTCTCATCAGTTCTCTGGAATCTATTGTAGTCATTATACTAATCCCATTAGGCAAAATTCAGAGAATGGTTCACTTAAATCTTGCAAATGAAAATGATTTGGAAACACATGATAAACATGCAATTTTTGTCATATACTTAGAGTAGGATAAAAAGTATCTTTCTAGAAATCAAGTACCAAAGTAACTCTGGGCGATTTTTCTCAGCAAACCATTGTCCTCATTTCTATTGAAGTTTTTAAACTTCACACATTAAAAAACAAGATGGTAGCCAGGTGTGGTGGTGCGTGCCTATCATCTCAGAGGCAAGGACAGGAGAATTCCAGGACAGTCTAGCAATTAAGAAAGGCCCTAAGCAACTTGGTGAGACGCTGTCTAAAAACCAAAAACAAACAAGCAAACAAAAACCCAAGCAACAGCAACTAAAATTCAATATGCTGTTCTGCCTAGAGAGCTCAAAACAATAAATGTAATAACCGAAGACAGAGAAAAGCAGACCCAAGTAGAGTCGGTGCTGGAGTATTTGGCAGAAGCAAAGAAGTCACACACATGCATGTACACACACACGCATGCATCTGCTCACACATGCATCTGCTCCCACATGCGTATTCAGCACATAGGTCTATCATCAAAACACCACATGAAATGCAAAAGGTTTTTCTCTCATCCAAAAGGGAAAAAGTCATGCTGACCACGTTCTTTATTGTGACCACAGCTGGTTCCTGACTTAACTGGTTCAATTTCAGACCTTCTTACCTTAAGGTGGTATGAAAGCAATATACATTCAGTGGACACTGGGCTTGAAGTTTTGATTTTGATCTTTCCCTGTGTTGGTGATGTGGGGTAAGGTGATGGCTGTCATGAGGACAGGGAGGGTAGCCTCGGTTCCCACCTAGCTGCACACTCCTGAGGGTGAACAGCCAGCCCGCCCCAGGGCCCTGCTGCTAAGCCATGAGGCTATGTCACCAGAATCTGGGATTGAGACGCTTTCAACCCATGCAGGGCTTCTTGGCTGCAGCCCACTGTAAGCAAATGAGTGCCTGTGCTAAGGAGCCATTTTTTTTTTGCAGAAGAGAAGTAGCTAACTACTCCTCTTTCTTTAGATACATATAGGCTTGGTACACCCAAGAGAGCAGTGCCCAAGAGAGATGAATTCCATACACTCATGATGTAAAGATTGCATTAAGGTTTAGGCTGTGCAGGAAGACAAGAGGGAAATTGCATTTCACTTACGATGACCCCA